CTACCACCACTAACTAGTCCTCCTGCTCTGCCTTACAGGCCACGGGATGAAGTGATGCTGCAGCAGTGCAGTCCCCAGGGCAAACACGAGCCCGTGAGAGCCACCCGAGCCAGGATGGCTGAGGAGGAGGAGGTCAGGGCCCTCGGGGACTGATCGTGGGCTGCTCCTTGTCTGGGAGCGACAGGATGGACCTGGGTGAGCAGGAGCCGTGCAGAAGACAAACCTGCATCTCCGCCTTGGAGCTGATGTAATGAAGGATCTTCATTCTTGGTCCTAAGGGAATCCCCATTTCTTTGAGGTTCTTCTCCGTGCACAAGAACTGGAAAATAAGCAGCCCAGGTATGAGTGTGGGAGCAGAGAGGGGTGTGCAGTGAAGGGATTTCTGTTCTCCATAGTTCTGTTCCTGCTGCACTCCTCAGAGACATTCCCTGTGCCGGTGACTCAGGACTGGGAAGACGTGCAGAGGGTGGGAGGACTGGGAAGAAGCACAAAGAAGAGACAAGCAAGAGGCAGCAAAGCAGGAGAGCTCCTCACCAGCGCTTGCCTGTCCATTTTCTCCTTCTCGAAAACATCACAATATTCGGACAACTCCAGCTTCTTCAGAATTTCTTTTACGGCCTCGATGCCCCTGTTGCTTGAGGTTGTCCTGGACCCCTGTGAAAAGAGCCGTCAGGGATGATGCTTTTTGCTCGCTGATTTTCTCCCGTGCGTTTTGGGGTCTCTCCCCCCTCCCCAGGCAGCCGCAGAGGCGGGAGGTCGGTGTGAGGCTGCCCTGGCACGGCTACGGGGGCACCCGGGGCCTCCAGCTGCCACCAGATGCCACGTACCTCCTGGCTGTGCTCGTCCTCCTCGGGAGCAGCCTTCTGGTTTGTCAGGAGATCGAACAAAATCAGCGACCCTAGAAACCAGTCGCAGGCAGAGAGAGCATCAGCAGCTCATGGGGGAAAAGCCCAAAGCCACCTCCTTTCTGGGAACCCTCCCCGGTGACGTTGAGGGGACCCGCAGGGCAGACCCCCACCCCAAGATTACCCAAGCTGTGCCCGGCAATGGAGACCCCTCCTTTGAAGAGGGGGTTCCTCTGGAGGAAGAGCTGGTAGAGGCGGTTCATTTCGGAGGCCACGGTGTCCACGATGGTCTGGCAATAGGTGGAGCTGTTGTAGAAGAAAACGTCCAGGATGGTGTCGTTGATGAAGTGACGCAGGCGATTGATGCTGGGCAGAGTGATTCGCTCCAGGTCGCTGTTGGGGGCACAAAGAGCAGAGAGGGGGCTGCAGTTGGAGGTGCTGGTGGACCCCACCATGCTCCTAAAGCAAAGTGTGAGGTCGGAGAAGGATTTCCACCATCCCCAAGGACATAACGCTGTAAGGCAGACCCTCGGAGGCGGGAGGCAGAGCACGGCGCTCACGTTCCAGGCAGGAATAAAGAGCCTGCCCTGTTCCCCAGGACCCCTGCTCTCTGCCCTGTTCCCCAGGACCCCTGCTCTCTGCCCTCCCTGGGGCTCTGCTCCAGCAAAGACGGGGTGCTCGGCTTCCAGAGGCCATTAGCGAGGTGGGGATGCCCACAGCCCCCGCTCTGCACCATCCCAGCCCTAAGTGCTCACCACCCTCCCTTTGCCACCCGGAAAAGTGGAGTTTATGCCAGAGGAGGGGTCTGTGGGGTTTGTGCCATCCTGGACCCCTGTGAAAAGAGCCGTCAGGGATGATGCTTTTTGCTCGCTGATTTTCTCCCGTGCGTTTTGGGGTCTCTCCCCCCTCCCCAGGCAGCCGCAGAGGCGGGAGGTCGGTGTGAGGCTGCCCTGGCACGGCTACGGGGGCACCCGGGGCCTCCAGCTGCCACCAGATGCCACGTACCTCCTGGCTGTGCTCGTCCTCCTCGGGAGCAGCCTTCTGGTTTGTCAGGAGATCGAACAAAATCAGCGACCCTAGAAACCAGTCGCAGGCAGAGAGAGCATCAGCAGCTCATGGGGGAAAAGCCCAAAGCCACCTCCTTTCTGGGAACCCTCCCCGGTGACGTTGAGGGGACCCGCAGGGCAGACCCCCACCCCAAGATTACCCAAGCTGTGCCCGGCAATGGAGACCCCTCCTTTGAAGAGGGGGTTCCTCTGGAGGAAGAGCTGGTAGAGGCGGTTCATTTCGGAGGCCACGGTGTCCACGATGGTCTGGCAATAGGTGGAGCTGTTGTAGAAGAAAACGTCCAGGATGGTGTCGTTGATGAAGTGACGCAGGCGATTGATGCTGGGCAGAGTGATTCGCTCCAGGTCGCTGTTGGGGGCACAAAGAGCAGAGAGGGGGCTGCAGTTGGAGGTGCTGGTGGACCCCACCACGCTCCTAAAGCAAAGTGTGAGGTCGGAGAAGGATTTCCACCATCCCCAAGGACATAACGCTGTAACACAGACCCTCGGAGAGGGAAGGCAGAGCACGGCGCTCACATTCCAGATGGGAATAAAGAGCTTGCCCTGTTCCCCAGGACCCCTGCTCTCTGTCCTGTTCCCCAGGACCCCTGCTCTCTGCCCTCCCTGCGGCTCTGCTCCAGCAAAGACGGGGTGCTCGGCTTCCAGAGGCCATTAGCAAGGGGGGGATGCCCACAGCCCCCCCTCTGCACCATCCCAGCCCTAAGTGCTCACCACCCTCCCTTTGCCACCCGGAAAAGTGGAGTTTATGCCAGAGGAGGGGTCTGTGGGGTTTGTGCCATTCCCAGGGGAGCCGAGGAGGGGGCTGCAGGGGTTGGGGGGACACACGACACTTACACGTCCACCCCGGTGGAGTGGAGGGAGCTGTGCCAGTTGACAGGGAGGAACTCCACGCGCCCGATCTGCTGCTGCTCCTGGGCCTTCTTGAAGTGTGCCTGCAGCATGCTGAGGGAAACGTTCCTGAAGTCGTTCACTGGAAAAGAGCAGGAGCTCGTTACTGGGATCCAGCTCGTTACTGGGACCCACCGGGTGCAGGACAGGCTCCCGCGGCAACGGCGCTTAATAAGATAAAAGGAAAGATCATTACCGGGGGAAATCCCACCAGGGTCTTTAATCTGCTGCTGCTGCTGCCCTAAGACCTTGGATCTTTAACTACAAGATCAGGGGAAGGCTCCGTGTCCTTCCACGTGTGTTTATGGGATTTCCCTGTCCCAGCTGGAAGCAGCCACCTTCCCACCCGGGCAGGGCTTTACCGCGGCAGTCGGGATAAGAAAGGGGCTTCAGGGAATTTAAAAAACAACAATCTGCTGCAAAGGTGCACGTGCTAGAAAGGGAAGCCCAAGGGAGGAGGTGAACAAGGCCACGGTGTCCACGATGGTCTGGCAATAGGTGGAGCTGTTGTAGAAGAAAACGTCCAGGATGGTGTCGTTGATGAAGTGACGCAGGCGATTGATGCTGGGCAGAGTGATTCGCTCCAGGTCGCTGTTGGGGGCACAAAGAGCAGAGAGGGGGCTGCAGTTGGAGGTGCTGGTGGACCCCACCATGCTCCTAAAGCAAAGTGTGAGGTCGGAGAAGGATTTCCACCATCCCCAAGGACATAACGCTGTAAGGCAGACCCTCGGAGGCGGGAGGCAGAGCACGGCGCTCACGTTCCAGGCAGGAATAAAGAGCGCTGTTGGGGGCACAAAGAGCAGAGAGGGGGCTGCAGTTGGAGGTGCTGGTGGACCCCACCATGCTCCTAAAGCAAAGTGTGAGGTCGGAGAAGGATTTCCACCATCCCCAAGGACATAACGCTGTAAGGCAGACCCTCGGAGGCGGGAGGCAGAGCACGGCGCTCACGTTCCAGGCAGGAATAAAGAGCCTGCCCTGTTCCCCAGGACCCCTGCTCTCTGCCCTGTTCCCCAGGACCCCTGCTCTCTGCCCTCCCTGGGGCTCTGCTCCAGCAAAGACGGGGTGCTCGGCTTCCAGAGGCCATTAGCGAGGTGGGGATGCCCACAGCCCCCGCTCTGCACCATCCCAGCCCTAAGTGCTCACCACCCTCCCTTTGCCACCCGGAAAAGTGGAGTTTATGCCAGAGGAGGGGTCTGTGGGGTTTGTGCCATTCCCAGGGGAGCCGAGGAGGGGGCTGCAGGGGTTGGGGGGACACACGACACTTACACGTCCACCCCGGTGGAGTGGAGGGAGCTGTGCCAGTTGACAGGGAGGAACTCCACGCGCCCGATCTGCTGCTGCTCCTGGGCCTTCTTGAAGTGTGCCTGCAGCATGCTGAGGGAAACGTTCCTGAAGTCGTTCACTGGAAAAGAGCAGGAGCTCGTTACTGGGATCCAGCTCGTTACTGGGACCCACCGGGTGCAGGACAGGCTCCCCCGGCAACGGCGCTTAATAAGATAAAAGGAAAGATCATTACCGGGGGAAATCCCACCAGGGTCTTTAATCTGCTGCTGCTGCTGCCCTAAGACCTTGGATCTTTAACTACAAGATCAGGGGAAGGCTCCGTGTCCTTCCACGTGTGTTTATGGGATTTCCCTGTCCCAGCTGGAAGCAGCCACCTTCCCACCCGGGCAGGGCTTTACCGCGGCAGTCGGGATAAGAAAGGGGCTTCAGGGAATTTAAAAAACAACAATCTGCTGCAAAGGTGCACGTGCTAGAAAGGGAAGCCCAAGGGAGGAGGTGAACATGAAATGGCTGGTTCTAAGGGAGAGGGGCCCGTCTCCTCCATTTCAGACGGTCAGCAGCCTTGGAAAGAGCTTCATCAGATGGACACGGGGAAGAAGAGGCTGCATCAAGGCAGAGGTGTGTTTTATAGGAACTAATGCCTGTCTGCCCTGGAAAATCCCTGCTGCCTTGATTTCTACAGGTTGCATCGTGTGGGGCTTCCAGGCAGTTGCCGTGATCACCTCTCCTGAACCAAAGCACCCAGAGCTTGACCCACCAACGGGCAGGTCAGAGCAGAGTCCCTTGGCTCCGTGTCCTCTCACCAACACTGAGGACGGTGGATGCCTGGAGCGGGGTGTAGGACCAGCGGTGCTTCCTCACACGCTCTCCTGGCCTCCAGGCACCGCAGCTTGGGAACATCCTCAGCCAGAAGGAGCGTCCCTGCTTTGGGGCTGAAACCATTCCAGAGGAGGCTGGATTGGGGTGTTGGACTTCACCCACTGGGATGAACCCATGGGGACAGATGGAGCAGGTGACTGGTGAGTTCAGGGGGTTGGGACAGTTTCTCAGAAAATCTGTATCCGATTGGGGAAACTCCCTATTTCGAGCGGCAGCAGAACATGGTGTGGAGGAAAGTGGTTGCCCAAACCTTCCCGGGTGGTGGGATTTCAGGTGGTGTGAGGGCTCTCTGACAGCGCAGAGGGGGGTGTGGGAAGGGGGACCCGGCCGGACCCCACACCTACCGCACTGCACGATGCTCCTGAAGCGGATGTCACAGGCGGGGCCGATGCCGTGCACCACGAAAACCAGGTGGTCGATTTGCAGGGGCTCCCCTGAGGGGGAGAGAAGGGCTCAGAGCACGGGACGGACATCGCTGAGCGGGGAACTGACCCGCTGGAACCACACACTCCCCAGGAGCCTCCCCTCCTCCCCTCACGGTACCAACCCGTGGGTCAGGGGCTGGGTTTGTGCCGGGGGGGGCAGTGGGATTTCTCACCTTTCTTTGGTTTTTCTCCTGCTACTACTATGAGGGTGGTGAGGCACTGGAACAGGTTGCCCAGGGAAGTTGTGGCTGCCCCATCCCTGGAGGGGTTCAAGGCCAGGCTGGATGGGGCCTTGAGCAACCTGCCCTAGTGGGAGGTGTCCCTGCCCAGGGCAGGGGGGTTGGAACTCGATGGTCTTTGAGGTCCCTTCCAACCCGAACCATTCTATGATTCTATGAAATGCAGCTGCCCACCCCGGGAGGGACCCAGGAGGGTGAGGGTGGATGGAGGAAGGCGAGGTGGCTCGTCCCCCCGTGTGTCACCATCCTCGCTCCAGCGGGAACGGGTGGTCCTCGTGGTGACACCTACCCAGCCATGGGGCACGTTTGGGGTGGGAGAGGGCAGGAGCAGAGGATGGGGGTCCAGCCACCCCATGCCGAGCCCCCCGGCCCCGCAGCCTCAGGTAGACACCAGGTGATGTTACACCTTGTTCTCTGCCTCCCACACACCCCACTTTGCATACACACCTTCCCGGAGGCGTGTGGGCATGGAAATGAAGGGGTTGGACGGGAGAAACTGCCTGTCCTCACCACGGGGACAATCCTGGGGCCGGACCGGGAGCTCGGGGACAGTTGTGGGGGGCAGAGCTGACCCACAGCTCCAGGGACGGGGAGGGCACGTGGGCCAGAAAGTCCCCTGCGTGTGGGTAAGGGAGGTGTCCCTGTGTCCCCACCATGGAAAGAAACTCCTCCTTTACCAGCGCAGATGCCAAGACCTCGGGGTGAATTGCAGGCACCGCAGCGCTTTCCACAGCTCTGCTCTCAGTGCGGGGGCTGGAACTGCTTCCCCCCCCGGATCTCTGCCACCTCTGCTCGTTCATTTACAGGTTCATTACCTAGTGCTCTGGTGCTGGGAAGGTTTCTGAAAACCATCCCGTTCCTTTTGGCACAAAGCTTCTAGCTGTGCCCTTCATTTAAAGGACGGTGGAAGCATCTCTCAGTCCCTTTAAGAAAATGGGTTGGGAAGCAGACTGGGTAGGTTTGGCGGGGGGATGGAGAAGCCAGCTCACCGTTGGGGATCTCGGCAGCGATGTTCTCCACTCCTCTCTTCACAGTCCGAGGCCGACCTTGTTCCGTAGGGGTCGAGCCCCAGTCATCGGAGGAGGCAACGGGATGGTAGTGCACCATCAGCTGGGAAGGAGAGGAGCCTCTCATTAAACCCTGCCACGTTCTGGGGCTACAGGGGCAGAAATTGTGCCACAGTGGAGAAGCCAGCTCACCGTTGGGGATCTCGGCAGCGATGTTCTCCACTCCTCTCTTCACAGTCCGAGGCCGACCTTGTTCCGTAGGGGTCGAGCCCCAGTCATCGGAGGAGGCAACGGGATGGTAGTGCACCATCAGCTGGGAAGGAGAGGAGCCTCTCATTAAACCCTGCCACGTTCTGGGGCTACAGGGGCAGAAATTGTGCCACAACCACTGGTAAGTGGCACCGGGTGGTACCAGCCCACGAGCCCCTCACACAAAGGGGTGGTGAAAAGGAAGGGGAAGGTGTGAGGCAGGGTCTCTGCTGGCATCACCCCCTGCTCTGGGGCAGCTCAGCCAGGGGAACGGCGTTGGGACATTCTGCTGGTCCAATTTGAGTTGGTTTCTCAGCAGATGTGGTTAAAAGAACCAGCATAAAGCCAGGCCCTCGAGAGAAGTCCTTGCTGGTGAGCACTGAGACCACCACGTCCTCCTCACCTTGGGGTTGTGCAAAATAATGATCTCCCGGCTCGGGGACTCCAGTTTCTTCTTCCACTCGTCCAGGGTCACAGCAACCATGTAGGCCTCCTGAGGAAAAGAACACCCTCTGTGAGTCAGCTGAAGGCACTGCCATGAATATTCAACCATGCGGGACATTCCCCACCCATTTTATGGTGTCTCTTATCAACACGTTTTGCGAAAGAGGCAGAGGAATGAGCCAGGTCACACTGGGGGAACAAGAGGGTCACCTGAGTATCACCCAGCAGGGAGCTTCCAGGAGGCAGCAGCAAAAGCCTCCCCCAGCAATTCAGAAGGGTATTTTTTGGTACATCACAATACAGGTTGTGGTAAAGATGTATATTTTTAAATATATATATATCTTTCCAAAGAAAGTCTCCATCTATTCACAGTCCAGACCACTCAAGTCTCTAAGGCTTCGTTCAGTGGTTGCTGGTGGTGATGATTCCTCTTTGTTTGTGTTCACATCTCCCCTGGGTTTGGTGACACCCTGAGCCTGGGGAGGACAATTCTCACGAGGATGGTCACGGAGCAGACAGGGCCAGGAAGAACCAGCACAAGAGCTGCTGGAGCCAGGCTGGAAGCTCGGCCAGAGCCACACGGCATGAGGAGAGCAGCCAGGAACATGCCACAGAAGGATGGCACCGGGGCAGGAGGAGAGCAGGAGGAAGGGGAGAACACCCAGCTCCAGCAGGCTGGGAGGCAGGCAGGGGCAGTGTTTAATTTCTGTTAATCAGGTGGGAAAACATCACTCCAAACCCTCTCTTGAGTTCACGTCCTCTGGCATGACCATGGTGGTTTGGGTGGGACGTGGGGGCCAGTATTTGACACTGAGGAGCCAAGATGCTTCTTGGAAAGAGGGGAGGTGCCAGGAGAGGCCACTTTACCTCCAGCTCTTCGCTGAAGGTCTCCGAGTAAGGAATGTACTTGTTGTCCTTGTCTCCCTTGTAGAACCAGGTGCAGCGCCGCACTTCGGAGACCTCCTCCTCCCAGTACACGGCCACGCGCTGCCTGCGCCCCAGGTGCACATCGTACCTCCCCCCTGACGTGGGGACCACCAGCTCCTCTCTGTCCCTCCCTGCAGGAACCAAGGCCTGGGATTAACGGCGAGAGGAGCAGAGAGGTCGTGTGCCCCGCCAGGTCACGAGGACGAGACCGCAGCACACGAGTGTGCACGAGCAGCAGACACCAGCGTGCCCCGTGCCCCGGCACGGAGAGCAGCCTTGGTGGGCACCACAGCAGAGATGTCCCAGGCCAGGTGTCCCCCCGAGGCAGAAGGTAAGATGAAGGCGTTACGCTATAACCGTCTCCCTCTCCGGTTCAGGCACAGGCTGGTGGGGACTATTGGGCCTCACTTTAGTGGTAAAAACGTGAATTTGTGGCCCAGGGCAGAGCAGTGGGTAAGGGTGGAGGTGTGGGTCTCCTTGGGTAAGGGTGGAGGTGTGGGTTGTGGTGTGGGTCTCCTGCTCTCTCAGCCATTCCCCTCCAGAACAACTCCGTGTGCATCCCAATACGGACCTCAAATTCTGTTAATTCTGTTAATTCTGTTAATTCTGCTGCCGTTTGGGTCTGCCCACTGGCCAGGCTGCCGGTGGAGCACCCGGTGCCAGGCTGTGCTGGGCTCGGCCGCGTCCCGGCACCGGGGACAGGCGGGATGGACCCTGGTCCAGAGATTCCCGGGAGAGGGAGGACGGAGCGGCCCTCGGGCAGTGGGGGCTCTGCCCAGCGCCGGCGGCAGCACGGTCCTGGCAGCAGGTGGCAAAAAGGGTGATATTGGGCAGAAAGGGGGGGTCTCATGGCCAGCAGTGCCGCTCGGAGCAGGGAAAGCATCCGGAGGGATCTCCCCAGCGGAATTCCTGCCATCCCACCGGCACTCTCCCGAGCCAGGAGGGAGCACAAGGATAGGTAATTCGGAGCATCCGTGGAATGAATGAGGTCAGGGACGTGGATGCACCCGAGCAGGATCGGGATTCACTGGATCGGGGCGCAGGGAGCGGGCGCCTTGCCCGAAAAAAAAAAGTAGAAAAAAAAAAAGTCCCAATTTAAAATTCCCGAGGGAAAATTTTGCATCCCCAGGGGAAGCCCTGGATGTGCCCAGGGAATTTCCCGGGATACCCAGCCAGTGTTTCCCCCCCCCGGGCACACACCTGATGCTCCCCCCTGACCTCACCAGGCCCGTTCCCTCCCGCGATTTTCAGAGCTGGGGGGGGACAAGGACGAGGTATTTAAAATCAAAGGGCAGTTTAAAAATAGCGGTGATGGGAGCGGAAGGCGAGCGGTGCCCGGACACCCCCCGGGCCCTGGCGGGGGGATGGAGCTCGTTGCGGGGGGATGGAGCTCGTTGCGGGGGCCCCCCCCCCGCCCCCCCCCCCCCCGTGATCTGCTGTATCCCTGCCTGTATTCCTCCTGTATCCCTGCTGTATCCCTGCCTGTATTCCTTCTGTATACCTGCCTCTATTCCTGCTGTATCCCTGGCTGTGATCTGCTGTATCCCTGCCTGTATTCCTCCTGTATCCCTGCTGTATCCCTGCCTGTATTCCTTCTGTATACCTGCCTCTATTCCTGCTGTATCCCTGGCTGTGATCTGCTGTATCCCTGCCTGTATTCCTCCTGTATCCCTGCTGTATCCCTGCCTGTATTCCTTCTGTATACCTGCCTCTATTCCTGCTGTATCCCTGGCTGTGATCTGCTGTATCCCTGCCTGTATTCCTCCTGTATCCCTGCTGTATCCCTGCCTGTATTCCTTCTGTATACCTGCCTCTATTCCTGCTGTATCCCTGGCTGTGATCTGCTGTATCCCTGCCTGTATTCCTCCTGTATCCCGGCTGTGTCCCTGCCTGTATCCCGGCTGTATCCCTGCCTGCATCCCTGCTATATCCCTGCTGTATTCCTGCCGTATCCCTGCCTGTATTCCTGCTGTATACTTACCTGTATCCCTCCTGCATCCCTGCCTGTATTTCTGTCCGTATCCTTGCCTCCATCCTGCCTGTATCCCTGCCTGTGATCCTGCCTGTATCCCTGCCTGCAGCCCCGGCCTGTGATCCTGCTATATTCCTGCCTGTATCCCTGCCTTCCATCCTGCCCATATCCCTGCCTGTCATCCTGCCTTCCATCTTGCCTGTGATCCTGCCATATTCCTGGCCATATC